AAGTGTCCCTATAAGACAGAAGAGAAGGCCAAGTGAAAACAGAAGCAGAGGTTGGAATTAAGCAGCCGAAGCCAAGAAACACCTGGAGACGTCAGAAGCTGAAAGAGTCAAGGAATTCTCCTTTTGGAACCTTTGCAAGGAGCCTGGCCCCACAGATACCTTGATTTCAGATTTCTGGCCTTCAGAACTGTAAGAATATAAACACCTTTTGTTTTAAGCCACCAAGTGTGTGGTAATTGGTGAGAGCAGCACTGGGAAACTAACACATCAATCTAGTGGTGTCTCTTTTTGGTTTCCATTTGCATTTCCCTGAGACTGTTGATATTGGGAATCATGTTATGGCCTTAATGGCTATTTGTGTATCTTTTTTTTTTTTTTTTGGACAAATGTCTATTTAGATCCTTTGCCCTTTTATCTATCTATCTATCTATCTTATTTATTTACATTTATTTTTGATAGAGACAGAGCACAAGTGGGGCAGGGGTAGAGAGAGAAGGAGATAGAAAATGTGAAGCAGGCTCCAGGCTCCGAGCTGTCAGCACAGAGCCCAACGTGGGGCTCAAATCCATGAACCAGGAGATCATGACCTGAGCTGCAGTTGGACGCTTAACCGACTGAGCCACCTAGGTGCCCAGATCCTTTGCCCTTTTAAAAATTGGGTTGTCTTTTTATTGTTGAGTTCTAAGAGTTGTTTGTATGTTCTACATACAGGTCTCGTTCCAGAGAGATGATTTATAAAAACTCTCACCCATTCTGCGCGTTATCTTTTGACTCTCTTGATAGTTTCCTTTAAAGCTCAAAAGTCTTTGGGGCACCTAGGTGGTCGGTTGGGTAAGTGTCCATCTTCAGCTCAGGTCATGGTCTCATGGTTCATGGGTTCGAGCGCCGTGTCGGGCTCTGTGCTGACAACTCAGTCTGGAGCCTGCTTTGGATTCTGTGTCTGCCTCTCTCTCTGCCCCTCCCTCTGTCTCAGCCCTATCCCCACTCATGCTCTGTCTCTCTCTCTCTCTCTCTCTTTCTCTCTCAAAAATAAATAAACATTAAAAAAATTATTTAAAGCTCAAAAGTCTTTCATTTTGATGAAATCCAGTTCATCTCGTTTTGTTTGTCTTTGATACCACATTGAATAAACTATTGCCCAATCCAAAGTCATGAAGATTTATACTTTTGTTTTCTTCTAAGAGTTTTATAAAAACTTTTAGCTTTTACACCTAGATCTTTGATCCGTTTTGAGTTAATTTTTGCATATGATGCACAGTAGGGATCCAACTTCATTCTTCTGCATGTGAATATCCAGTTGTCCGTGAACAGCTTTACCTAGTAAAGGAAGTACGATACTGATCTAGCTGCGAATATAACTGTAATTGGGAGGAGGGAGGGTGGAGGGTGGGACAGGAAGGATGTCCAGTGAGTGGTAGGTGCTGGGGAAGAAAGGGAGTGAAGTCCTCCTCTTCAGTAGAGGCAAGTCAGTAAATAAAGCCTAAAATAGAAAACTCAAGGAATAGCAACAGAAGCGTTTTATTTGGAAACAAGGAGGGAAATAAAAGAAGTAAAAGAAGTGGAAGTGGTTGCCTCTGATTGATTGATTTGGGCATGGGGGCAGAGAGAGTGTGTCAAAAATCATGCCTGGGGCCCCTGGGCGGCTCAGTTGGTTATGCGTCCGACTCTTGGTTTCAGCTCAGGTCATGATCTCACAGCTAATGAGTTTGAGCCCTGAGTCGGGCTCTATGCTGACAGTTCAGAGCCTGGAGGCAGCTTCAGAGTCTGTGTCTCCCTTGCTCTCTGCCCCTCCCCTGCTCATGCTCTGTCTCTCTCCCCTTCAAAAATAAATAAACATTAAAAAAAATTTTTAATCATGCCTAATAACTGCATAATTTGATAAAAAAGTAAAACTTAAAAGGGAAAAGCAATAACAGATTCTGAATAAGGAGAGGAGCAGGGAGATGAGCCTACTGGATATTAAACTTGATCATACAGCACAGTAATTAAAATCATGCCATAGTGACATACAGATGGACGGAAAGATGAGCAGAACAGAATATGAAACCCAGAAATTGATTTGGATGCTTAGAAGAATTCATGCATGGTAAAGGTGGTGTTTTATCTTAAATTATTTAAGGGTGTTGGAATAAGTGGATGGCCATTCAGGAGAAAAGTAAAGTTAGATCCATACTTCACACCCGCTTTGAACCAGGAGGACCAAAGACTTAAATAAAATAAAAACCTTCAAAGTACCAAAAGGAAAAAAACGGAGCAAAGACCCGAGAAAGAACGAGAGGGCAGTGGGACGCGTCAGTGCACACCCCCGTAATCCCTACAGCGGGCGGCATAGGACGAATCAGAAACAAGCGTGCAGTTGGGCAAATCTTGTTTAAAACCCCAGAGTTTTCATCATCTCTCTTCTCAGCCTGTATTTTAGGAACTACTATCTTGAGGTTATGAAACATTTATCTTCTCTTCCAGATAGCCACAGAGATTGAAAAGTTTGTGATAGAATACGCGGGAGGGGTGCCTAGGTGGCTCGGTTGAGCATCAGACACTTGATTTCCTCTTGATTTTGGCTCAGGTCATGCTTTCACAGTTCATGAGATCAAGCCCAGCGTCAGGCTCTGTGCTGATGGCACAGAGCCTGCTTGGGATTCTCTCCCTTCTTCTCTCTCTTTCTCTCTCTCGCTCTTAATCTCTCACTCTCTCTGCCCCTCCCCCTCACATTCTTGCATGCACACATGCTCTCTCTCAAAATAAATAAACATTAAAAAAATAATAAAATGGGGCACCTGGGTGGCTCAGTCGGTTGGACGTCTGACTTCGGCTCAGGTCATGATCTCACGGTTTGTGAGTTCGAGCCCCACGTTGGGCTCTGTGTCTGACAGCTCGGAGCCTGGAGTCTGCTTGGGATTCTGTGTCTCCCTCTCTCTGTGCCCCTCCCCTGCTCGTGTTCTATCTGTCTCTCTCTCTCTCAAAAATAAAATAAACGTTAAAAAAATTTTAAATAAATACATAAAATGTGTAGGAGAGGTTTTTTTCTTCTGTTAGATACAAGTTAAATCTAACGTTTTTTATTTATTTTATTTTTAACGTTTATTTATTACAGAGAGACAGAGAGACACAGAGCATGAGCAGGGGAGGGGCAGAGAGAGGGGGAGACACAGAATCCGAAGCAGGCTCCAGGCTCCGAGCTCTCACAGAGCCTGACACGGGGCTCGAATACACAAACCGTGAGATCATGACCTGAGCCGAAGT